TCCCCTTGTAACCATTTTGCCAACTCTTAAGAGATGTTAAATGTAGCTTTAAGAATGTTTCTAAACAAGGTATTTTTCCTTAGAATGAAATACACTAACTTCAGGGAGAAGTAATCGAATTAAAAAATTTAATGCATGCATTTACATATGCAACCACCCAACTTATCCATATGCAGATAGAATATGGTATGCATTGGTATTTATTTAAATACTAATGGATGCTACAGATGAAGACTTTTTACTGAAATCTACATCCCAAGATTACGGAAAATAAATATTTAAGTAGATGCTTCCTACTTGGTTGGATTAAAATTTCCTGAATCTTCTAGGAAAATCAGAATTCAGGCCTAAAGAACCCATTTCACAGTTATATTGAAGCTAAACTGACAAATGACAAGAAAACTCTAAGTACGTCCTTATGTAGCTAGAATTCAGGGTTCAAATTCATTCTTTTGCCTTCTATCAAGGGACACTATGAAACATTTCCCAGCTTATCTACAGGGACTCTACTGTGGACACCAGCAAGCATCAAATCTATTGTTTCTGCAACAGTGGAAATTAATGGGAGTGCTGGAGGCAGATCCACCTCCTCTTCAACTAGTCTGGGAGTTAAAATGGATATATCTTCTATTCATACGAAAACAATACCTTTAAGTTAGGATAAGCAGTCTATTAAGGTGTGCAAACGCTCACATAATAGGACTATTATTATTTAATTATATTTTAGGTCAATTTCTGTTAAATCAATTTCTGTTAAACTTAATTATGTCCCTCTATGGCTTTAAACTGGGGCAGCTTCTATTAAGTTTACTTTCTCCTGGGGTTTTCACAGTCAGGACAAATGATAAAGGTCTGGCTACTAAACGAGGGCAGCTATTAAATAAGGACGGCTTGTATTAAAGCTAAATGGTAAAGATGTGCCAAAAAGCCACATCTTAGCCCCTTAGTAAAGGAAGTGTTTTATGTTTTTAAAAAAAAAAAAGGAGGAGGAGGAAAAAGAAAATAACATAAAATTATTCACAAACTCTTACAGGATATAAGGTGGTAAACTAACAGAACGGTCAAAGTTTCACAGTAATATGCCTCTGCAGTTACTCTTAGACAGAAACAAATGCATGGTAAATTGATACAGGCTCTCCCTTAATGAAAATGGAGAAAATTAACCACAACCCTTGGTTTTGGAGACCAAGATGTGTAAAATGGTACCTCAGAAGGATTTGCAATGTGGTTTTAAATAGCTGTTGATAAATAAAAATTCTATCAGCATTTTTCCAAAAGATAAGATTGAAAAATATGTTGTGTTACCGTTTAGGACTACACCATAATACCGGAAAGAATATAGTTTAAACTAACTTTTGAACAGACAAACTCTGCGTGTGTGTGTGTGTGTGTGTGTTTTTGTGTGTGTGTGTGCGTGTGTGTGTGTTGCTTTGTTTCTATACCACTTTGGAGTTCTTACTACTAGTGTGTGTTTCACTGTGGTTTCAGTATTATGTGGAGAAACTTATGTCTTTACTAGCAAGTGACATAGCATTAATGCTGAAACTTTGATGAATGCAGCCATAAGATGAATGAGAAAATAATTGGATCATTTGTGTATCATGATTCTGTTATTTTGTTTAGTTCTAGAGATGTAGAGATGCAAACACTCAAATCTGGCTTAATTTGACTGCAGATAGTGTACTAGGGATTCTCTTCACCAACATGTAAATTTCCATAACACTGATGCTGGAATAAAACCCAGCACTTTAAATAAAGATGCACTTTGCAATTTCAGATGAGTCCTGCTGTTTTTGGGTTTTTTTTTTCATAATGAACAATTGCAACAATTTTATATACAAAAAGTATTTATGAACAAGGAAGTTATACTCTCCCAGGCCTGATATGATGAGGGATGGAAATATGCAGGAAATCTCTCCTCTACCTTGTTCTATATTCCCGGTAGGAAAAAGATCAACTGGGCCACATTGGGGCCAAAGTAGTTGGCAGTGATCCTTAGCCCAAAGACTGGAAAAATCTGCTAGGCTGAGGGCCTACAGCTGATCTTAACTAAGCACCTGATGGATTCTACTGAAAGAATGTTGAAGGCAATGTATATTTTTCTTTTTAAATGTACCACAACAAAGAAATTACTGCACTGATACCTGATTGATAAGTGCTACCTTCTTAAAACTGAAAGGATGTGATATATTCGACCAAACTAGCTGGAAAATTTATTTTAACTTGCTTTTTAACTGAAAGATAAATATTCTAAACAAAAAGTAACAAACACTTCATAAACATTCTAATTAAAACATTTCAGCTATGAATTTAGGTAGGTATTATTCCTTGTAACATGAAATATACAGTGAAGGCTTCTACAAGACAAAGTAATGATTTAAATCAACATTTATAACCCCAAAAAAATACAGAAAATGACTTTCAGTTTGGGTTTCTGTCAACTGAAGTACATTAGTTGTCCTTCACGGACATTTAATATGTTTTAACATATTTATTTAACATATTAACACCAATCTGCAATTCTCTGGCTCATTTTTAATTTCATGATATCATTTTAATGTTCATTAATCTAAGGCAATTTTTGCATGAGACTAGTGGTTACAAGGGTGCATGTCCACCAGATGCAAATTCATCCTTTAAATTAATCAAACTAATTTATCTTTTTAAAACATCTAGTCTATGTATGAAAATTTGTTCTTGCATATGCATAAAAAACCCCATACTATTAACTCTGGAACAGATAAATTATAAGTAAATCCAAGACTTGTTTGGTGGCTTCCATAGTAATACTCTTACACTTTCCTAACACAAAAAACCAAAACCATGTATTTCAAAAATGAAGACAGAACTTCAATTAGCAGAATAACTATCTATCAGTAGCCAAGTAAGAGCTCACATAGACCAACTCTGACACACTTTTAATGTATGTGAACTCATACTGCTCACTTTATGTGTTAGAAGAAAAATAATGCAAAAACCAGGCCAATATACTGAATGTAGAGATCCTGATCAAAATCTAATACATAAGTTTTATGGGTTTTAATGACCTAGAGCAAATACTAGGGAATTTGCTGAACATGTCAAACACAGAAACACAGAAACACTGAAACACAGAAATATTTTTGTCGTCTTCCAAAGGTAGGTGTACCTAACAGAGATCGATTGTGGGGAAATAAAACACAAAGCATCCATAACTCTGTGTTCAATACAGCAGGAATATCACTTACTTTTTTGTTCTGTTCACAAACATCAAAAGGTCCGTCTGCCAGTTCTGAGAGTTGTTCTAGGTTTTAGAACACTACTTTGGAAAGTAGTGATAGAACTATTTTGAACAGATAAGCAGGTTGTTCAGTTCATCTAGATATATTCATTTTAGATCAGAAAAGCTATGGTCTTACACTTTTTCCAAGATTTAGTCTAGTCTTCCTAGGATTCTGTCTTTCCAAAAACAGAAAAAAATTGAAGAAATTCAGAGCAGGAAGATATAATTGAAGAGATAACTGACTTTTTAAGTTTTGGTTTGCTGAGTTATGATCTAATTTTCTGCATAAAAATACATTTAAATAAACAGTAATCAAAGATCAGAGGCAGCTATGAGGATGTTTCATTATAAGTAACAACGTTATATAGGAGTTACAATGCTATGACACAGAGAATGTAGCATGAACTATAATTGTGGAAAACTAATAGAAAATAATAAATAGTGTTCAAAAAAGTTGGATAATTAGTGCTTTTCATATAGACATTGTATATGCTTTCTCCTCTAACACAATCTTCTGGCTGATTTGCCTTTGCCATGTGATCTAGATCAGACCTCTAGAAACTTTTTTTTTTATTAGACTTCCTTATATTTCTATACTTCTGAAAGTAAAGATTTGCTTCAGTATTTTTAAACAGTAGAAACTGGATGGATTTTGTCCAACACATTTTCACTAACAAAGAGAAAATAATGGTTATGGTCAGCTGGGGAGTATTTTGTCAGTTTCTGCAGTTACATGAATACTCATGCATCAGGACATGAAGTGTGCTAGGTACTGTATGGACAACAAGGGAAATAATTGCCTCTGTTCTAGAGAGCTTTCAACTTAAGCACAGGGGACAGCCAGAAGTACAGTAGGAATATATAGCAACAATGGTTCTAGCTAGTAATCTAGCAATGGTAGTGAGCTAGTAATGGCTCTGTCTAGTAATCCCAAACAGGCAAATCTCTTCTGTAACTCTGAAAAGAATTTACTTTGCCGTGTGTCCACACCATTGTTTTTCAAATGTTCTGAAGTCTGCTTATACACTATCTGTAGACAGTCTTTAGGTCTAATGAAGCTCTGATGTGCTACAAGTATCCAGGCATTTAGGCAAAAGTGTGCTGGATCCATCTGAACCTTTGTTTTACACACTTGTTTTCCACCGAGTAAGCCCATTTGCATGACATCATCAATAAGCCATCACGAGAAGCAGGGTTCCTAGCACACTGATTCTCTTTTTCCCCTCCCCCCAAATGACTGTAAGAATTTGAGCAAAGGCAAGGAACAATTAAAACCAACTAATATTCATAGTATGGTACATGATTATAAGTTAGATAGAAGTTTGCACTTTGATTCACTGTCAATAATCAATTTTCAAAACAAATTAGAAAAAAAAAAAGAAGTTCCCCTTAGCCTGTGTATACTGGTAAAAAGTCTATTTCAACAAACCATTTCCAAGGCATAACTGTCTATGAATTCTGAAGGCAGGTGAAGAGCTAAATTCTGTTTTATTAAATTGGTATAAACCCAGAGTACTTTCAATTAATTCGAAAGAATTACTTTGAATTCATAACAGTGTAAACGAGAACGTGGCACAACATGCATAGTCTCGAGGTAACAGAGAATGATGACTGCTATCTATGTGTTAGAAAATGGAGGGGATCCTACACTGAAAAAATAGTTTAATTAGTATCATAAACTTTTCTACAAATAAAAAGAGGAAATTTAAGTTCGACCACATGGAATTTTTATCTTTACCTGACAATCTCATTATTCACAGAAATGGCTTCCAGGTATTTTTTCAGTGCATAATAATTATAGTTATACTTTCGAACATAATAGCCCCGCCATCTTTTCTGAATCTAGAAGAAATACAGAAATTGTTTAGTATATTTCAAATCAAACATTTGTAATATGCATATCAAATACCTGCTTCATTTCTCAAAGGTTTTGATGTCTTTAAAAGTGTTATTAAGTAGCTGCACTAACATGTTTCCATAAAGAAAATGAGGGTAGGAAGTAACATACTGTAATTAAATGGTGATGTGAATTTAATATTAAATGTCAACATAAATCAAGTTTTAAGCCAGTGTTTATTTTGGGGTGTGGCCATGTAAAGAAGTGTCTGCTGCTGCTAGTGGCATTGTTTTATATTAGAATGGTAAAAAACCCACCTAACAGAAGTGAGGCCTGTTTCAGTCAACAAGCATTCTCAGCCGAGTCATTCACTTCACCAAGGTCTTACGCTATACTCTCAGCTTCATGCTGTGGATATGATCTAAATCCAATGGAAGCCTTCCCCGTAACTCAATGAATCAGGCTTTCTGGAAAAATCTTTCACAAATTGCATTTTTTTTCATTTTCCATATAAGATGTGATTCTATGAGATGAACATTTTGGACATCCCCAACTAAGAGAAAAAATGATCTGTGTCTATTTCCTATATATTAATTATAATCTTCTAATAACATACAATTCTTCCTGCATAACAGATGAAATTTAAGCTGGAAAAGGAAACCTCTTTATCTGTAACTAACTAGTTCTAATGTTGTATTAAGAATAGAAATTATGTAGCCTCGTTACAGGACAAAGGATTCACAGCTTGATGCATTTTAAAATATAAGATTCAGTTTAGCCTGATTTTTCTGAATAATTTAATTTAACAAAACTGTTTAAACCTTCTTGGATACTTGAGAATTATGAGCATGATGTTTCTGAAGTGATCACAGGCTCTCCATTTTGTTGAAATAGAAAGTAAGCATTAATTAGGTAAAGAATTAGTACTATTGCCATTTCACTGGCCAGCCAAATTCATCCCTATGCCATGACATGTACTGATGCAGGTGGAAGACATAACTTCCTCAGTTAATGCTGAGGGCTGCTCTCTCTCCTCATCTTCCTTCCTGTAACAGACCTCTGAATGCTATATCAATATATCTTATAAATAGATTAATGATCTTTTGTTATGTTCTGTTTTCACTATTTCCTCTGTCTTTTCTTTCCTCCACCCTTAAACCTATCCTCTTTCATAATATTCTTTACTTCATTCCTTACATTTCTCTTTTTTTCTCAATACATTTCTAAAATAATCTCTCAATTTCTGTCTTCCAGTCTGTATTACCTTCACTCCTGCTCCAGCTTCCATCTCTTTGACCTTTACAGTTTTGAAATCTTAAGACACGTAACAGCAGAAAAGCAAAATCTACTACATTAAAAAGGCAAAAAGATTGAGGTCTTACTATCCAGGAACAACTTCAGGATGAGAAACTACTCTCTATGTGTAGTGAAGAAAAGAATTTCAGAATTCGCGAGGAGCTCTCCTTTTCCACGGGCCTCTGGCTATTAGACTTTTCAAGAATTTAAATTCTTCAATAGATCTACAAGGAATGCTTTTCTTTTTCCTTTGCACCAACTCCTCCCTTTCCAGAATCAATCTATGACTGCAAGGATAAGTGGAGTAAAATCCACTTTTTTTTTTCTTCCTCATCTCTTACTCTAACGCAGCATGAAAAGATGAAGAAAGAGTCATATTTTACTGTATTTGGATCAGGAAGAAGACAAGGAAAAAAGCTGTCCTTTGTTCACAAGCTATTAATCAGCTTTTGTACTCTGTGACTTCATGGCCTGCATCTTCAAGTGTTGGGAGTGCTCTTAAGTTACAGTCAAAATGATCTCTACTCATTCCAGTTCCACTGCAGCCCATTTCTGTACCGCTAGCTAGATAAGATAACTGAAGAAAGCTACTGCAGTTGTCCATCTGCTGCCACTTCCTGAACTGAACACGTAACAGAAACACTAGAGCCATCTATCTGCAGACTTACTAACACAGGGTTGCAAATGTCCAAACTTTGCTTGGTACCATTTTTCAAAGACAAAAGCCAAATCGTAATTTTTTAAAGTAAAAATAAGCACTTGGTCTAAACTGATAGTACCTAGTGGCACAGCTGTAATCGCCTCTTTACAAAATAGTAAACAAGAGAACAAGTATCATAGGCAAGCTTTTAATAAGTATTTGAGTGTTGTACATCAAGAAAATAAATTGATACACTACAGTCATCAGTAATAGGAGGATGTTCACTTTTGGTGTTGGTATACCCTTACTCATTTCCCCTTTCTACTTTACCATCTATTTTCCTCTCTTCTCAACTGAACTCGAAAATTAATTTAGGAAGTTGCTATTTTCTTTAATCCATGTGTTTGTTTTTTATTAAAAAAAGGTTGGTACCTCTACACATTGCTGTAATATGAACAAATAATAGTTATGTGAGCAGCTGCACATGGGGATAAGAAAGGTTAAGGACTAGGTGTGCTACTTTGCACTATATTGTAGTAAATGTCATGTTCTTTGCAACTCCATTTTCTTATACACAAGGGTGTTGGGTTAAAAAGGGATAGAGCAAGAGCAAAGAATAAGTATGTCTTCAGAGATTTGGGATTAAGCAAAATCCTTTGCATGTGAATAAGGGTCTTAGCTTTGTTTTTCTCTTTGGCTGCAATATTGCTAGTCAACAAGAGCAACTTGGCTTCCACATAGCTGTGCTCTCATTAATGCAGGATTATGGTCCCTTTGAAATTCTTTCTGATAGCCTCACCTTACAGCTACAAATGTAGAACTGGATATTTGTGGGTTACAGGATCAAAACCGTTAAATTGAGAGATGAAAGAGTAAAGTTGTATAAAACTATAATTCAATGGGCCCAGTGTAGCAACAAAGTGTCGCAGTCTACCTTTATTTACACCACTGTCAGTCCAGAACGAACTCACTTATTTCAACTGAATGAAACATAAGTAGGAAAGAGTACATTATGCCTCAAATTATTTTATGCTAGTTTTCTATTTACCTAATTCTATGTCTCAGAGATCAGAAGACTGAAGATTAATTTCTCTGGAAAAGAATATTTTATCAAAAGACTCCAATGACGTTCATATTTTCAGTAAGAAAGTTCTAAGTTTTTGCTTTCATAAGGAAGTATAATATGTTATGAATATACTTCTTTTTAATTCCAAGGTGAATGTTCAAAAAATTCTTGGGGAGAAAAGACAAGTGTGTATGCCCTTCAAAGTAATTAGCAAGTTTCAACAGTGATTGGTACAAAACAATTATTGTCATTGATCAGCACTGAACAGATAATTTTAAACAAAGTCATTGTGTGCTCAGCAGATTACAGCTTGTTAACGGGCAAGTTCTAAATGACCTCTTAAGCTAGTCAAATCAATGATGCATATTCCTCATTAAGTAACATCAAAATGTAAGTGGTCTTATAAATAATGTTTATTTTAAGCACTAAAACAAATGGCAAAACCTTCATATATCAAAAGCCATCTGCTCATGGAAATATTTTTTTTTTCCTAGGATTACTTTTGTTACAGAAAATTTATAGCAACCTTAAATCTTTTAAGGGAGAGCACCATACTGCAATGCAGTAGTCAAAACTAAAATTGATTAAGATAAGTTCTCTGTTTTAATTTTAAAAGGTGAAACTGATAATACTGGTTACAACTAAATGCAATTCAGGGAGGTAAAGATGTAGACTTCTAAGCTATGACCATGTGTTTGCCCTCAATTATACTTCTAATGCTGAAATTGAAAGTGCCTTTCTGATCAGTGCCTGGAAACTAAACTAAATTGTTTAATAACGTTATGAGGCAAAATGAAGTAGTCAGAAAAGTATATACATCAGCTGTTGTGGTATTTTCAGAACATTGAAGTGTATTAATTGTGAATCAAACTCACAGTGTGTGAATGGAACGCATTGTTGGTTTAGAAAACAAAGTCTCGCGCTGCACAGTCTCTTCTGTGCACAAACCCAACAGGCCTTATTATCTACTGTTCTGTACCTTGGTTAGTTCTTCAATAACTGGATGATGGCAAAACAAAACAAAACCAAAAAACCCCAACTGTTTCAGAATAGTAGCTTTTTAAATTTGCTCTGCAGATATGGGCGAAGAGGATTTAGACAGAGGAGAATCAGAGTCTGACATTTGTGCCTAAATAAAGATCTGTTCTATTGTCTTCTACTTATAAATTTCCATTAAAGAACAAGACATGACTGAAAACAACGGCACTTTGAAGATTTATATCAGCTAATGATTCAACATTATACTTCAATTACGAATGAATGGGAACACATTCAATTTCTTTTACAAATGAAAGACCAAATGCAAAACTTCATTTAACGAGAATATATAATTTGGTCTTGAAACGCCTGCTAAAAGTACACAGCCAATTTTTGAGCTGGCTTACATTTTGTGCTTTCCCACTGATTTCAACAGTATCAGTATACAGCATTTATCCACTGTGGAATACTTTTAAATCAGCCAACTAAGGAATAATCTAGAATTAAAAAGTCAATTTCTGAGCAATTAGATTGTTGCTGAATGCTTTCACCTACCTTGCACTAAGTGTAAGATTCTATTTTGTGCCTTTGGGAGAAGCAGCACCAAGCCAAAAACTTGATGGGAACCTAATGATACATCTCCTGACTCTGAGATTTTGGGTAAAATAACTCTGGTGCCAAAATAGCCACCAGAAAGACCACTGTAAAGTTCAAACCTGTGTGGGGAATCTTCCTAAATTATAGGAGTTCTCCTGGGTTACTCTCCATCTACATCCCTGCTTTTGGTGGAATTTAAACGGTAGGCTATGGCTTTTTCTAAAAAGAATCAAACACCTTGTCTAAAAAGAGAGTAAAGCCAAGCCCCTAAAGTAAAGCAGTTCCTCTCTAAAAAATGAAAGAATTAAAGAAGGTAAAAAGATTTAACCCCAAAGATTATCTGATGTCCTTATCTTGTTCATATTATATGTTTAAGTGCAGATCCAAATTCCAGGAAAAAAAATGCTAATGTACTGTTAAATATATTTTGCAGTTTTCTTCATGAGCAATGTCATTTGCTTTGTATTTACTAAAGCTCAAAGACTGTTTATACTCTTATTTATCTAGAAAAATCACTCATAACAACATCAGGGAGATCAGCACAGTTTCAATTCTGTGTTTAGGGACTGAACTTGTAGCTTGCTATCTGAGTAACCCTTTTGAGATTCAATATATGATAATAAGGTACTAACAAAAGAAGCACAGATACAACAACTGACGTGAAAGCTCTGTAGTTTGTTAGAACTGTAAATATATGTCTACATTTGTTAGGGTACTCAGATAAAACATTTGTTTGTTTTATCATTATCTATACGGTAACGTACAATTAAAATTTAAATGGGGCAAGACACACACAAATGCCTTAAATTCAGCTATAGCTTTCAAATATATCCCAGATAACTGAGTGTAACTTTAATTTTTAACTATGTACTATTTCCTGCTGTTGCCATCAGCATATCAATCAAGTGTATATTATTCTGGTTTGCTCATTTTATTAAAAGCAAATTCGGAGCACAATTGACTTTTCATTTGTTTAACAAGTGAAGAAATATTTACCCTGACAGCCATTTCATTGTAGAAATTCATCTTCATAATAAAATATGCTGTCTGTGAATCAAGAAAAAAAAAAGACGGCATATATTTCAGTTACACAAAGACAGTGCTCCTATTTTTACATATAAAAGATAGGAATCTTTATACATAATACATAATAAGAGTTCTAGGCTTAGAGAGAATAAAATCAAACTTTGTATTGAAGAGATAGGCTTCCTAATACATAATGCAGGCTTAACCAGAAAAATCTATGGTAGTCAAACTAGGAGCTAATGGAGATATATGATCATAAAATGCTCTCCGCTGAGTTTGATAATCAATGGTGCTCTACTGAGAGTAGAATAACAAAGCAGAAATATTCACAAGTGCTGGTGACACGTAGTATTGTATGATTTATTCACTGGGGTTCTTTTAGCCAAAACTCACAGAAACATAAAAGGAATTCATATTTCAAGACGTCTGGTTTAATGAAAAATTCAAAGAAATGCTGTCTTCAGTCGAAATCGTTCAAGGATACGGATGCAGTGATGGAGCAAAATTGTGCCTTCCAACCATCTGTACTAAATGTTATGTACTTAGCTGCCTCCCGAGTAATCCTTGGGAATTTTGTTTCATTTAATATTCATTTTAACATCATAAAATCATAAATACAATGATATCATGTTACAGTGAATCCCCTGATATAGAAAATATTTCCTGAAGTCCTGGTTTCCTTCCAATAAAGTAGAATTCCTCTCCCAGTGAACGAAACCCCTATTATACTAAGCAATCACTTGGCAGCATAGGTTATTTTAATGGATACATCACTTTAAACTAAGCTTTCACATCTGTTCCGCCCTCTAATTACAAATGCAAAATGAACATAATTCACAATTGTATCATAAAAAGTAAAATATAAGTACTCTGAATGCAAGAGTATGTCCTTTATTTAGCACAACATGCAGCTTTTATGTGTTTCTCATGTTTTAGACACAAATCAAAGGCAAAAGTGCTTTCCCCTGATATAGTGATTTTCTCCCCCATGGCAAACAGGAATTCTCTATAAAAGGGTTTCACTGTAATTAGTGTTATTTGAATTGCCTAGTCTGATCCAAAGCAAATTGTCTGTGGAGAGCAGCAGGACTGGATTATTTATCAACAGTCTGGGCAATTAAGAAACAGTTGGCCGCAATATGTTATTTACAAATGAACACAATGATGCTACTTCATTTTAAATTCTCTTTCTTCATTACATTAAGCAAGGCATAATTCCTGCAGTTTAATTAAGGTGCATTTAAAATGCTCACTTTAATATCATACAGTTCTACTAGTAACACAAACAATAGAAAAGATATTTCTTGTACAAACGAAGAATGCAGGACTGCTAAATTTCCAAAAAAGTTTCATATATATATGTATGTATGTATGTATACACACATATACATATATGTATACAGACACATACATATATATATAAAAGAGGGAAACTCAGTCCAAAAGGTGAATTACTACAATTAGTAGACTCTGTCTTCACTTTTCTCTCCATAAATATTTTCCAAGTGATACTATCTGTAAGAAGCTAATGTAGCAATGATATAAGGGTTGCCAGGCCTAAGTACATCCTGAAACTGTTGGATTAAATTGATACAATTTTGCTTTGCAGATCATCTTTTCCTTCTTTGGAAGGGAATACAAGAGTTGCGGCACCATCAAACAGATAAACTACATTTTAACTGAAATTTCTAGGTTTAAAAGTAATCATTGGATTTCTGTCCCTCAAGTGATCAAATTAAACAATCTCACACATTTTTGGTTTATTCTTACTATATTTGAAGGCTGTAAGCACTTAGGCCTATTTCCCTGAAGCACCTAACTTGGAGACGTAATATCATTCTGAACTTTATGTCACCAGTACTGAAAGACAGGGGGACCACCCCCGCCCTCTGGAGCTGACTAAGATTTGAAGAGCTCTGCAAATGCACCTCCCTCTATTTTTTTTTTTACAGAGCTAGCCAATGGCAACTAGGCTATTAACTTACATACCAAAGTTAGGTGTGACAAATTCAGGCCTTACTCTAACACTACTTACCAAGGTCACTCACATCAGGTTGTCCTCTAAATCACAGGTCAGCCAAATTAGAATAGTTCACATAATTACTCATGTAACTTACTTTGTCTTAAAACCTTATTCTTGAGCTGAGAGACCCGTGTGTCCACCTAGTTTCTTTGGCAAACGGATTTGCCTTCTGTTTTCTAATCCCAATTTGAGTAAGATGTACTAATTCTGATATGACAAGTGCTTGAGAATGTGTTCATCCCTATGCACAAAAGCACTAGCATAACTTTAAAGCTTAAACTCAAGCCTATATTTCTGTGCCTACCCAATGAAAATTCATTTCTGAACTGGAGCTCTCCTATCCAGTTCTGAAGCATTAATTGTTTGTACTTATCTCTGATATTAACATATAAGTTCCCCATTAGTTTATTTTAAAGGCTATGATTCCAAAATATATTTGGACCTTTTGTATATAAATTGCTGTACTGCTCTTAATCTACTTTCTCCTTTTCTTACTATTTAAAAATACCTTTGGGCTCCACCTTCAAAAGAAACATGATCTATTCCTGATAAGTCTTCTTATTCTTTATACAGAACTTTCAAAGTGACAATTTCCACAGAGAAGCAGAAATTTGACTGAGAGAAGGCACCAACATGTGGCCTAAGCTGGGGACAGGCACTTTTTTTTACAGAGTGAATAGGCATTTGCCTATGTATTCCTATTGGATTGGGGTTATTTATACATGATTATGGAGTTGAAGCTAAAATATTTAAGGTGCCACAAAAAATATTCACTTTTTTCAAATGCATCTCCTTCCAAAGTGAGCTGCAAACGTGCCCATCTTGCGTTACCAACCTCATATAACCCTGAAATGTTGGAATTCGATTTGCTTTAACAGGTAATTTCTTGTCTTTAAGAAGTATTATAAAGCAAGACATTGATATATATAGTTTGATTTATGTTCTGGTGTTTCTCTGATTGTAAAATTCATCTTTTCCTGCAGGTCATGCAGACTTTCAGAAACCAGGACTAACAATATAATTAAAGCATTAAGAAAACTATTATGAGCTCAATTCTTAATTTTAATTTGAGACTAATATTAGGAAAAAACTTTTTTACTGAATTGCCTATATTTAAAATATAGACATATAACTTAGGCATACAAGAAACATTAAAAGTTTGTATGTATGTATTTTAACGATCACAGGAAGAGGCACTAGAAAAGTAACAAACGAAACACTAGTAGTGATGCACATATGGACAGCCAATATGATGAGCCTCAGCCTTTGTTATTTTCCGCATCAGTACCGCTCACATTTCACAGTTTTGAATATAATCATTAAAATGATTTATTATCAAGTAATCATGGCTATTTTGTACATATGCTTTGCCTTGTTTGCTGGCAGCAGATACCAAGCCAGTCATTATCAGCAGACAAATTTTAAAGTGATCAAATTTTTTTGTATTTAAGAAACTATCATGTCAAAAACATATCTTTGTGTTTCATTATCAAGAGTCATCACAACAGTTATTAAGAAGATTCAGTGCAAATGTTAACTGATCTTTTAACTTAAAAGTTGCCTTAAGCCACTGAAAGATTTTTGTTTCATTTTCAAATGTTACAAATTTAGCCAGTCATGATCAAGACAGCACAACAATGAATGGAAGGAATGAACTTAATCTTTATATCTAAGTCCAATCTCTGAACAGACAATACGGAATATAGCAGTCTATAGGGAGAAAGAGGTGCCTTTTTATCTGCTACTTACATGGCTTTCGGGTTGGCCTGCATGTAAGGTTGTGAAATTTAACGCTCTTCAATCAAAGAGATATCAAGCACAAAATGAAGCATTTGAGGAAAAAGGCTTTCCAATGCTTATTGCTGTACAATTCATAAGCTTGCTGGTAAGCTTCAGTTTCTCTAAAGCCCTTGCTAATATTGGATAACTGCTGCTATCCAGAAACAGAAAGGATTCATGATCTGATTCAGAATGTGTGTTTTAAGGGTGAGCTTGCTTGATTTTTGTCCTGCGTTATTCTACAGAACTTCAGATTTGGCAGGGTCTTATCAGTTATGTTTATCTGAATAACTACATTTTAAACCGGGCTTTACAGATCACTAACTTTTTTCAGACACTATTTATTTTTAAATGTAACACTAAGGGGTTTTTATGATGCTAGTTATCTTGGCTTGGTTATTGCAGAGAATCTATGTTAATTTAAAAGACTCCTTTGTCTTAAAACTAAACTGTCAGAGCATTTTTAAAAACTGAAGACAAAAGAAGAAAGAGATAATACAACAGAGAGATGAGGTAAAATAGCTTCAATTTCATAGAACCATAAAATAGCTGAGGATGGAAGGGACCACTGGAGGTCTAAACCCTTGGTTAAAGCAGGCTCAATTATAGCAAGCTGATCATCCCATTAAGTTCTGAGCATCTCCAAAGACAGAGGCTCCACCTCTCTGAGTAACCTGCATCTGACTACTCTCGCATAAAAAAAAACATTTTTCGTTATGATTAAGTGGAATTTCCTGTTTTCAATTTGTGCCCGCTGCCTCTCATCCTGTTATGGGGTGCCTATTCCAAGGTGATATTGCAGGTTGACCTTCTAGGAAGAATTGTTTTGCCATCTGAGCTACCTGGCACTACTTTGAACAGTGGTGCAAGCACTGACAGCAAGCGAGGTGAGCATATGTTCTTTCAGTATCTTATTTGGGCACTGCTGTTTTTACAACCCTCATATAAAAAAAAAGTGTCTGAACTGACATCATTCTGATTAAAATAGGAAATTAACTACTACCTACAAAGACATTTGAACATTCAATGGCCAAAAGATAGCTCCTTAAAATTTTTTGTGATTGAAAAAACATACAAAGATCATCGTTAGATTTTTGTCCTGCTTAAGCCCTCGTAATGACCTGAGGATCAGATGCCAGAAACTGACACTGACGGTTCTTATTTTCAAATCTTGAAAGGCACAGAAACACATAAATCACCCTGCTTTTGATTCACCACTCCACAGTGTTTTAACTGCGAAGGAATGTAGAACTTGAGAGGATGTTATTAGAAAAATTGGCCTAAAACTCTGCCCGAAGTATATCTAAACCATCCATGCCAAACATTTGTCTAACTTGCTCTTAAAGACCTACAGTAGAGGGGGTTCCACAATATCTTTGTCAACTTGTGTCAATGTTTCAAAGCAGGTTGATTTCATCCTTCCTTTTTCCCCGTGGCTTGAAGGGTCCTCTCTTTTTATTAACAAATCTCAACATATGCAACATTATCATGTCTCTCCTCTTCCACAGAAGGTTTTTCTAGCTTAAACAATCCTTCCCTAAACTCAGGGACAATATTCAATTGATGGCCCACCTTTTTTTCAAAATAGAATTCAATTCAAGCATCCAGCTATCTACTTTGTAAAAAATAGAATATTGTGGAAGGTAAAATGAAAACCTTAGCCTTGAAGGATAACTCATAGTTTATTAATTAGGAAATATAAGTCGGAAGAGGTAAAACCTTTTATTAAATTACTGACAGACTTGGTGAAAAGCGCATAAGCTTTCAGGCATACAAGTCCTTAGGCTTGAAAATACAGTTTACTAGGAGGTATGGACTTTAGCGTGTAATATGTGAGCTATTATTGCTCAGTTTTTTTGACTTGTCTGTTTTGAATGAAAGGCAACAATTCAGCTTTAACAAAACTAATCAAGAGTAAATGACTTATAAGTTAAAAACTATTGCAATGTAAAATGTTAGCATAAATTGACAAATTAGTGCAATAAACTACTTATTAAAAATTTTATTGTTTTATGCTAAAGGCAAACTAGCTTCTTCTTAATCTCCTAAACCGCTTAACAGAGGTTTTAGCTAGTATGCTCTCATACATTTTTGCTATCTTCAAGTCCATAAAGGGAATTAGACTGACTGTGATCTGCTGTGTGCTTTAAGGCAAAACCTCAAGTATTTCAGGGTTCATAAAGTAAGAAATTTAAACCACTAAAACATAGAACAGCAATGTGTAGAAACATTGGCTTATTTTATTTTAAGAACTAAAAGTTCTGCCAGGAAAAAAGCATCTCCAAAAGCTCCAATCCTGCAATTAGCATCATGCAGGCAGGCTTCTGCATGAGCAGATCTCATTGCTGGTTTGGGAACTAATGCTCCAGAGCTGCAAACACTTAGGCACTAACTCAACATGACCATCATGAGTAGGCTCACTGAAATTAATGGTGCTTTTCATGGAAGTAAAGTTAAGCACGCTTATGTTTGAATACAGGATTGAGTTTCAGCTTTTTAATTTCAGGATGAGTTAACGTATTACTTTAAATTTATGCTATAATATATGTAAACAAAAAATTTAAAAACTTGTTTCCTACCGCCACCATTTTTCTGAAGTATTTTCTGCCTTGATAACCTCTCCACCACTTCTGTATAATAATTACCACGTTGTTCAAATATCTAAAAAGAAGTATGTTAACAAAACTATAATTATATTGGGACATTATTAAAATAACTGTAAATACTTTTTTACTTTGCAATATTAAAAGTAATATACAGTCTATTGTCAATAGTTATTCCAAATAAACAAGCCATTGCAAACATACTCTTTAGGCAAAAGTATATGTAGACATGCACACACACTTTTAAACTTATACATATGTGCATATTTTTATACGCAACCCACAAGTACTTAGCTTTTGGAATAAAAGGGCCACTGCAAACTTACTCATATACTGTTCCAGTTGTCATTACAAAAGATTTATGAAATATTCTTAAGAATATAATGTGCATAATAGTTCATTTTATTTTCGTGAACGGTTTTAATGAAACATAATGAAACATATCTGACCAGCTCAGAATCTTTTCAGTCAAATGCAAAATTTCCACTGCTTATTTTTCAGATATTTGACAAAAGCCTCAGTTATCTGAGATTTTTAGACTACCTTTTTCCTCATTTAAAATTAAAATCAGTTTAGTTGTACGTAAACCTTTACTCTGTCCTTATCATATATATTTTATTATGAGACTAAAAATCCTGCAAATGATGTCTGACATCAATTTTGCATAAGATAATGCAATTATTATTTTGAGACTTTTTACAAAACGCTGTGTGTTAGGGCGTTCACAGTACCTATGAACACCTAATTTAGAAACCTTGCAGTACTTATAGCATAACTCACTGAAAGCAGGCTTTTCTAAAGGGTGATAAAGAGAACCTAAATGAGAGGGTAATTCTGAGCGCTCTCAACTGACTGTAGAGTTAGCCTGTGCTCTCAAGTCAGACACCACATTCAACTTTGGAAACAGGACACTGAGCAGGATTAGTCCATATACAGTGGCAGAGAAAATCCTCTTCCATACTTCATTGGTTTAGTTCTTCTTACATGCTCTGGGTCATTATGATTTACAAACGTGCATTTGGGAGAGAATTTGCCTATAGAACAGTTTGACAAATACACTTAGGTTTTCACTTTCCTCCATTGCATGCTGTAGTCGCTCATGTGCTGACAACCCAGAGGAACAGTTTGCCTAATCAATCCTCTGTCTTTGTAGGGGTTTCTGACATACATATTATTCCTTTGAGGAGTGAAATACCACATTTGTATGCCTACCAAATGCATGCATGTGATGACTGCATCCTGTGATGACACACCTGAACCAGCAATGGACAATGGATTATCAGTGTTTTTTTAACAAATGCACAGAATGGCTGTAGCCTATGTTTTATGAGGGAAATTTTGGCCATTTCTTAAACAATATCTGTCTTGAAAAAGTGGCTATTTCCATGCTACTTACCAGTATCATGCCATTTTAATCACATGCAGTTCTAAAAATAAAAAATTATTGTTTTTCACATGGGACAGCATACGTTTCTTTCTACATAAAAGCAGAATAATGGTTAGTTTTTTTTCAGAATCCTCCCATTTTCTTAAAGCCAAGTAATACAATGATAAATTTTGGAAAAAAATTAAAGATTGAAATAGAGATTAAAATAGGCCAAATATATTTACCTGATATAGGCTCGGACTCTGTGTCCTCGAAACCAGCTCTGGATTTTGACAGCAGCTTTATACTCTTTCTTTCGGTATTCATCTACAGATCTGAAAATATTAAAAGTAGTAAATATTTTTACAATAGATATAGAAAGTATAAAAAGTATTAATACTTGTTAGCATGATAATTTAGTATCAAAAGAAAAAACGCTTATAAGGATTTCTTTTACTGTTGCAGCTTGTGATCCTTTTCACTGTTTTTTTTGCCTGTAGTTAAAATTGTAATTCTACATAGTTCAATAACAGTGCAGAACAATACAATTTACATAAATTGCATACAATAGAGATAACAAAGTCCCCAGTAGAGGACTGGTCACTCGAGAGGCTGTACTCAAATCATAAACATTTTAGAATCAAAAACAAACAAACTAAACAAAAACAAACTAAATATGGAGTTTAAAAATTATTTATAAATTTGTAAACTATTAAAAATTTACAAAATTTATAAACTTTATTAGGAATAGAGAATAAGGAAAAAGAACATCAGACAGCCTCAGAACAATACATAAATTATCCTAAACCATTCTACCTAAAAAATTACTACAGAAACAAACTATTAAAAAACATAAGGAAAAATAAACATCATTGTAAGCTACTTCAGTGCTAGAGTAACTGTAACTTGCAGCTAACATACGTTTGGGGAGAATGTGCTCCTTTGTAATACTGAATATCCATGCCAGTATGTCAGGGACTTCTTTTTTTGAAGGTGAAAAATATGAATACTGCTCTAACAAAAATTAGTCCTCAATTGAATAGAAATTCCATAACTATGTACCAAATTGGATAGCTACAGGAAAATTAAATAAATTAACCATGGTCAATATTATGATAAATGTCAACTGCATTAATAAGAACTGAATATTAGGAGTAAGATCTTGTGCAAGTAAAGTGTTTTGTATACGTCATAAAAATGTATTTGAACATTACCTGTATATTATCACTGAAGAGTGATAACATCACTAATGGTGACAGACCTTGTTAGTAGATTTTTTTAATTAGTATGAATTTTGAACTATTTTGCAGGATAAAAGTAGAGAATTTAGCCTTTTAGCTAGTTTCTTTGGAAGTAATTTAAAGAGAAATATGAAGAGGAAGAGATGACTGAAAAAGTGAGAGGAAAGTGGAAGAAAAGAATATTACGAGTTGGAGCATGGAGCAATAAAAGCACAGAAAGGAGATAAGATGCAGAAATTTCCAACCTTTAGAAGGCTTGGAATGTCAGGATGTGAAATTTGAATGTTGCATAAAAGAATAAGGCAGGGAAGAGATCTGAAGAGGAACTGGAAACAAACGGTATTAGTAAGTAATTTGGACAGATTCTGAAAGATGATGGGGATCTTTAGCATGGGATTACAGTAGTTGAAGCAAAAGATTGTGAGTCTTGACAAGACTTCACAGTGGGAATTCAGAGACATGGATTCTGGAGATAATGTAGAAACAAATCTGGCAGACTATCAGGGAGTGATGTAGGCAGGCAAGGAGGGAAGAAAAGGAAACAAACTGATGAAGAGAGAATACAGGGAAAGATGAGGAATTTATTTTTAAGTTACAAAAGAAAAAAGGTTATCTAGAAAGAGATACCAGTGCAGCAGCTGAAGATACACGATAGACATAGGTGGAGAACTGATGACTTCAAGCAGATCTTAGAGAAGCACTAGCTGTCAAAGCTTTGTGTTAAATACAGTAGTACAGGCAAATGGCAGGTGCACAGGTGGGGAAAGAAGCACAAGTGAAAAGTCCCCATCAGAAATTCTGAAAATAATTCCCAGAGATAGTCCTCCCCTTTCTTTTTTCTGTGAATTCTTCTACTAGGAGAACTGTAACTGGGACAAAGTAAAAAGACACCTAAAGAAAAATAAGAATCTAAAAGACAGTTTTCAGAGTGTTCAGGAAGAAATCATGGCTATGATCAGTTTCAATGCTGAGGGGTGGAATCTAGCCACAAGATCACGTCTAGCTTTTATTTATGTTTTTTTCATAATAAAATGTCAAGAACTGTCAAGCTGATGAAGTTAAAATTATATTGTAATTTTCATGGATTTTTACACATTTTTAAATCTGTCACATTTTTATTTGGAACATTTTACCAAATAGTTTACTTTGTCACACCTCTCACAGAATAACAATTAGATTAATACTGGTTAGCTTTCTAACTATCTAAGTATCATGTCAACATTAGTTGCCTTGGTGAACCCTAACAAGAGTCATTTATATCTGATAACTGAATATTATCCTCATTACTGATTTACTACTTTAATGTCTCTTTCCTAAAGGGACATTAGCTCCATTCATTTTGTATCTGCTATTGCAGCATGTGCTCTCACATCACATTACATGGACATGAACATGAACATAGATTTTCATTGTCACATTATGTGCATCAGACCCATTACAATATCTGGAAACTGCAGAAAACAAACCATCCTTTTACTAAGACCACAAAACAAGTCAATACCAAAGCAGCCATTTATAGTAAAGAGCTCTCTTGTTCCTTTCTTGGATAGCTTCCTAGACTTTACAGTCTAGACACCTCCAGAAAACTTTACCCCAAGGGAAATGAGTTTGATGTAAAATGTATGAGCTGTTTGGGCCTGGCTGGGCAGTCACAATTACAGCCTGGAAGCGAACGACACATGGGACTGGCCTAGGTCGAGATGTCAGCTCCAAAACCAATCCTACCTACTTGGCAATGGCCAATGACAATAGTCTGCTTCTGGAAGGGCAGAAACCCTCTCCTCTATTACTCCATGTTAGTTGTCTAGTCGGACTGTTGTCTTGCCTAGCTGAGTCAGTTTACAAGTCCCTACAAAGTTCACTTGAGCAGACCAACAGACTTGTTTTTCTTACACTATAGTTCCACAAATACTTTCAACTAACAATGCTAGCAAATGGAGTGGTTTGGGGTTTAGGTTGCTCAAACTGATATCTGCCATTCTGATCAGACTGCATAGTTGCCACACAGTTTGAATCAAGCTTTTATATAGTCACAAACGCTTCTCAAAGACTTTACTGAATGTTACCTACGCACGCTCAAAGTCAATATCTGACCTACAGATGTTAAAGCATATAAAAGTAAGCTATTGAAAGAATAAGTTATAAACTTGTCAGTGCATTCTCAAATTTTAAGTGTTACACAGATCCTCTACATTTTAATGCTTATCCTAAGCGGGTATTTCTCAAGGTATTTCCATGGGGCTGTCATTGGGTAAGTCCTTTCCTAAAAAGACACTTCTCCTAAAAAGACATCCTGGTTTTAGGAGCCCCTGTACCTCAGATATAAATGGAGTTCTGCATAAAGAATGTCAGGAACATTACTAAGATCTGAAAAAAATTGGTAAACTGATCACCCATCTAACCACAACCAACAGGCAGGATATTGCAGTCATCAACCTGCCCTAATCCTTAATAGAATAGATGTAAAGTCCCAAAATAGCAAATGCATTTTGAAAGATAAAGAAAGTTAGTTTTCTAATTTGAGGACTTAATTCAAGGCACTGTTCCTCCTGCAACAGTAAGTATTAGCCAAAGTACTTCTTTTCCACAAGGGTCTGCTTATGTCAGGCTGTGTTAGACGCTCTGCACATTCTCGATGTTCTACACAGCTCTGTATTTAGTTCTTGACAGACAGGTGAAGAAAGAAATATTTTTATTTTTTCTTAAAACGTGCTTGACACACATGGAAGTAAATCCTTCAGGTTCTACCCCTGCAACAAAGCAACTTTATTTGCAACCAAGACAACTCATATAAATAAGACAAATACTTGGTAATCTATATTCTGCTGTACCTTTCGATGATTTAGATTAAGGTAGATGTAAACACACTTCAATGCCAAAAGTTAATTTGTTAATTTAAAAGTTAAATAAGGATGTATTAAAAGCACTGAAAAAGACATTCTGATTTGTTTCAAGATTTTACTGACTACTTCATTGAAGTCCAAAATTCTCGCCCTAAAGACCAAAGATCAGATTACAGATCAGCTGTTCAGTGGCTGAACTGGAGCGTTTGAAGGCTCTCATTTAAATTCTCAGCTGAAGGTCTGTGGATTTCAAGAAGCTGATGGATTATAGCCTGTTCTTAAAAAGGAACCAATTCATTTTTAGAAAGCTGTGCCAAAAAACAGATCCCGAAACATCAAGCGTGCTGCCCTCCAATGAATTTCCATGTTTGGCTCAGCCTGCTCTTTCTAACCCGAAACATGCAAAATACAAGTATAATCTGTTGTAACTGATGCTCACTTAGTGAACTGCTGCGTGTACATCCACAAGAGGACAAGCTATAGTTCAGGGAAAGAACAAGAAAACACGATGCTTCATACACAGGCAAGACTTGAACTCTGTGTAACTTTTAGCAACGTTAGAGAGCTTTGTTATTTATACTAATGATGTTGTAACTGGTTTCTAAAATGATTGAGTCAATGAACAGTAAAGAAAAAAGCTATAACTATTCTAAACATTAATCTGTTTGGATATTAACGTTACATATTTAGTAACTGCAACAATATATTTGTATAAAAGGGTTTTCAGTAGAAACCTATGAAAAGTATGTGTCAAAGCTTTGATTTCTTAAAATATGATCTGTGAAAAGTCGGCCTCCACCACCACCTTATAAAGAAATAAGCAGCAAAACAGTCCCACTTAGTCAAGAGAATGGTAACAGGTGATTTGATCACAGTTTGCCATTCTGTAGTACAGGACGTTTCAGATCTTTAGTAGAAGAAGTATCTCTTTAATTTAGTACAAAAAGACAAAACTTATCCCAAGCTGCATAATCTAATTTAGAAATATATCTGTTTTTAACAGTGTGGACAAACATCAACTCACTTTGAGGCCGGAGGATTCTGTCGCTTAGTTAGAAAGTGCTATCATTTGACAGGATAAACTAAATCTCCAGTAACATAGAAATTTGAGCCACAAGAGGAGGTGTTCATAGTTTATGGATATTGAGTAGGGATTTATACTGTGTAAGTACCCTTGATAAAAGAGTTATATCACTGTAGCGATAACATCAAACTCAGTTCTGTTTAAGATAAACAAGGGAGAGGCAAATCAAGAAAGGCACTGCATAAAACACTCAGAAGTTTCAGCAGCTAAACGTTGAGTTTCAGGAGGCTAATTTCCGCTCAAGATTAGCCGGAGGTTGGGGAGGGGAAGGTCGGTAATTTTTTCGGGGTATAAACACACTCCCTAAAAAGACCTGCCCCGATACGCCGGTGCTTCCTCAGACCTCCCTGGCGGTGGGCTGGGGGGCTCACGGGATGGCGGCCACGCCCGACCGCGGGAAGGCAGTTGGGCACGCGCAGC